GACTCCATTTTTGGCATGTTTGTGATACTTTATGATTTATTAGTGATTTTTTATAATACTTATGATATGATTGAATGAGTTTGATGTGGGATTGTGAAATATGGTATTATATTGATGGATTTTGATGATGGTTGTGAATCGTATAATGTCCAGTAATGACTATTGTATGAAGAGGTATAAATGGTGTGTGCTAGATGGAATGTAAATTAATTGTGAATTAAAGATTGATGTGTATGAGGAGGTTGCGCAAGATATGTGTATGACTTATTGTGGAAATGTTGGTTGTGCATGTGATGTAAAATTAAATTGTGAACTATGATGTGATGATTGGGCACAGTCGTATGCGTGACACCGAGCAGTAAGGGTGTGCATGTGATACGTTGTTATTTATGTGTTTTTGTGGGCATGGTCGTATGTGTGATACAGTACTAAATGTGTGATGCGTCGATATAGTCGTATGCGTGATATCAGTGCTGGTAGTAGAATGCATTGGCATAGTTGTGTGCGTACATGAAGCTAGGCTTGTGATGCTATAGTAGAGACGCTTACCTGATATAGTGTTGGATGTGTGACACGATGTATATGTGTAATTTGTTTATAGGCACATATGTGGATTGTGATGAGATGATGGAATATGTGGATTTGAGAAATGATGTTGAACATATTTGAATGATGAATGTGTTTATGGATTATACTGTTTTGGGATTGTTTTGTAGAATTTCGTGATGTGTTTTCTATATAAATATTTTTTTTTCTTACCGCACGTTTGTGGTTGTTTTTAGGTGAGGAAGATGTAGACATGAGTGACATTCAAGGTGCCAATAATTGAGTCATAGGAGTGCTCTGATAGTGTGACATTGAGGTAAGGGCCTTCTAAGACTTTAATTTTTATTGTAATTGGAGTTTTTACATTTCCTTTGAAACTATTTACAAACTTATTTGCTTTCTAAACTTTATTTTTAAATTGATCGGGTATTGGAAATATATTTTCTTTTGAATATGTGAACCATTTTACCTATACTAAATTGAAATTTCTTTAATTTACTTTATTATGTATATTGGGGTAGAATGAGTGTTACAACATATGTCAAAATATTGTTGGAGTACAAACAAAATCCTACATCATTTGACCGTGAGGAGAAATAAAGATTTATAAAGTATACATAGTCTCCATTGGTATGAAGGCTTTTAGGAGATGACCAAAAGCAAAACATGAACATTTAGATTCAAAGTCGACATTATCATACTAATGTAGAGACGTGTATGTGTGATGAACCTCGAGTATCCAATAGTGGTACCAAAACCAATGGTTGACCAAGTGATTGTCTTAGAGTCTTGGACAAATATTTGACAAAGGCAATATGTTCAAATATGGATTATGTCAAAAATCTTCTTGGTGGTTTGGAGGTCAGATAGTGTGTCCTATTAATGTGAGCTAATGGCGGTGCAAGTATTTAGAGCCGGCAAGTGTGACTAAAGTTTTAAGAACCACCATTGAATACTCGTAGATGGAAAAATAGAAGTTTTCATTGAAGGGAGGTTAAACCATGATCTTTTGTTTGAGAAGAGATTTGTTGGTATAAATAAAGTCTCACATCATTAGATCAATGTGTATGTGTGAACCTTGAGTGTCCAACAATGGTACCAGAACCAATGGTTGATCAAGTGATTGGCTCAAAGTCTCAAATAAGTATTTGACAATGAGAGACAATGGGTTTAAATGTGGGGTGATCCCTTATGTACAAAGTCTTACTAGTGGTGTGGAGGTATGGTAGCGTGTCCCATTGATGTGAGCTAATGACAGTGCAAGTATCTAGAGTTAGAATGTCGATGCAAGTATCTAGAGCTAGAATGGTGGTGCAGGTATCTAGAGTTGACAAATATGACTAAAACTCTAAGAGTTACCATTGAATACTCATAGATGAAAAAAATAAAAGCTTTTGTTAAAGAGAGATTAAACCATGGTCTTTTGTTTGAGAAGAGATTTATTGAAATACAAATAAAGTCTCATATCATTGCATTATGGAGAAAAATTAAGATATAAAATACACATAATTTCTATTGATATGAAACATTTTGTAAAATGATAAAAATAAAACTATAAGAATTTAAGTCTAAAATAAATAATATCATATATATATATATATATATATATATATATATATATATATATGTGTGTGTGTGTGTGTGTATAAATCTCGCAAGTCACCAACACATTATGATATTTCTCTAATCATCAACCGATTACCCAAACAGAATCAACCCAATTTTAATTATTTTCTATGCTTATAATTGAATAAGAAGTTGCTACTCTTTGGCTAACATTTTTCAAATATCAATTTTGACATCCAACACAATAATAAAAATTAGGCTAAAACCTAATTTGGTCCCTTATAATATTTTAAAATTTCAATTTAGTTTCACTTTAATTTTTGGGTTCAATTTAGTCTCACCTATTAAAAATGTTAGCAATATTTGCCTTCCGTCTAAATTTCTCAAACACCATTTAGGAGTGTCCATGTGATTGAGAATCATGGGCGTGATTCTCATAACTCTTACTTAGCAAATTTTTTTTAATGTGATTCAGACTGTGGGAATCACAGACGTGATTTTCATGACTCTTTAACAGTGTTTGAGAAATTTAGACAGAAAATAAACATTGTTAGTATTTTTGACAAGTAATACTAAATTAAAAAATTTTAAAATATTATAAAGAATTAAATTAAAATTTTAGCCTAAAAATTATTATTAACTACTCCAAATTACTATTAACTACTCCTCCATCCGTACCAAGAAATTAAAATAAAATATACAACGCAACTGAAAAATGATGTACTCTTGTCCTTTCGGAATATTGTATTAAAAAAAAAAACACCCTTTGAGGTGTATTGAATCTTCTTCTCTTTCTTTCCTGTTATTGCACATAAAATTTTATAATTAATTATTAAACCTATCAAATGACAAGGCACGTAGTCTCGAATCAATTCCTTGCTCTCGCAAACAAGAGTATAAATTATTTATTTATCTATACTTTTATATCTATACTAATATATGATCTATACTGATATATAAATAAAATACTTTTTTCATATAACTTTTATTCTTTACAAATTTTAAACTATAACACTTTCGATTATTAAAAAAATTAAATTTTATTTTAATAATTACCATCGACCAACTTTTTTAACAATAGTCCAATCTATCATTTTTTTATTTTTAAAAAATATGAAAAGAAATGAAATATCATTTACGTACCCTACTAATTAATAATAAAAAAAAATACCACTTTTTAGTGTCTACAACTTGTTTTTTCATTCTATCCTCTAATTAACTATTATAAAAAAAATACATGTAAGTGACTAAACAAAAATATTTATTAATTAATTATAAAAAATATTATTCACTGGGGTGGAGGGAGGACGTGAAGGGATCATGGTCTCTGCTAATTTTTTTTTAAATGTGTCAAAATTAGTTTTAAACTTTTTTTATTCTCTAAAATTTATATAAAAAAATATTATAAATTGATAGATAAAAAGTATCATGTTAGTTTATATTTATAAAAAAATGAAAAAAATATATATGTAAAATTGATATATAATATAATAAAAAAAAAGATAAAGATATATAAATAATAATAAATTATTTATAATATTAGAATATTTACATATAAATATTAAAAAAAAATTGACCTCACTTAACATAATTTTCTGGCTCCGTTCTTGGCTATTCTTAATGTTTTATGTGGGTAATTAATTTGAAATTTTTGTGACAGGGATTAGATGATTGAATGAGTTAAAGGAAGAAACCTACAGTGATGCATAAAGAAAAAGAAAAAAGCTTAGAAGGGAATAGTATATCCACTTTGATTTATATTCATGTTAGTTACACCAACTTTAATTAGACATAGCTTAATACAAGTTGAATCTCCTTATGTAGCTTTATATTCCCTATTACAATTTTAGTCCCTCCCAAATGGGATAGAATATGCAGCTGAGAGAAATTAATAGAAAAATGTTAAAAATATTGTCTAACACGTTTTTTGAAACACAATAGAATGAAATTTATTAAAAAAAAATACGATAATTTTTTAAATTCACTTCTTATTTAATAAGTTTCACTTGTAATTTTATAATATTTAATAAATTTTGATAAATAATAAAAAATATTAAAATTATGTTAGAGTGTTTCATTAACTCTCCTGTGACAAAGGCGTTTTACACTAATTTTGTGACAGGGTTATATTGATGGATATGGGTTTGTAGGAAGAAACCTATAATGAATGCATAAAGAAAAGGAAAAAAAGCTTAATAAGGAATAATATATCCACTTTTCTGCATGTTAATTACCCACTTTAGTTAGAAATTGCTTAATTCAAGTTGAATATCCCTATGAAGCTTTATATTTTATTTGTCATTCCAATCTCTCTTTTTTCAAAGGAATAAAAGACAAACATACCAATCTTGAAGATTTCTATTAAAAATAAATAATTGTTAAGAATGGACTAAACAGGCCAACTGCTATGGATTTAATAATGTAAGTTGAATTTTAAAACTATATGCCTTACTTTACATAATATAAAATTGTTGGCAAATTAGAAAGCTTTTTTACCAAACATGAACTAACAACATACTTGTTAATTTTCTAATAAGATAAATTGTTACATGAATCAAATAAAAAAAATTAATTACTCTCCTAGTCTCTATAATTAAAACAAAAATAAAATTTTGTTATATATATATATATATATATATATATAATTTTGTTTTTCTTTCCTTTTAGTCTCTATAGTTTTATATTACATTTTGGTTTCTATATAAATAGATGTCAAGGATTACAAGGAAACAAAAATAATATGTACATGAACTAAAATGGAACAGTTTTAATTATAAAAATTAGAAGATAAAATTTATGAAATTATTATGACCAAAAAGTGATTAAACCAAATAAAAAAACATCTTCCATGTCAATCTGGAATTTAAAAAGACAAAAAGAGAGAGACAGAGAGAGAGAGATGAAAGATTCATTGAATACTCTTGTCAGTAAAATACATGCACTAAATAGAATGCTTTCACCATATCATATATAAAAAATACAGCGTCCACCACAATTCATATAACATAAGCTCTAATTGCCCAATTTCCTTAAACAACCAACTCACCTACACAAAAGGACCAAGATTAACACTAAACATTGGCAACAAAAAAATGGAGCATGCTTCCATCAAAGTTAAAGTATGAAAGCAGATTAAACGTTGAACTCAAGCCATTTTGAGATTTTCAAACTCAAACTGCAAAGACCAGCATTAAAAAGCAAATTCCCAAATGAAATTGTGGCTTGAGGCAACCATTCTTGTCCATGCAATCCAATATGTACATTCCATGCTTTTAAAACCAAGTTGGAGCTATTGTGAACCCCACAATTTTTGGCCTTGAAATTTTACCATGTGGAAAATGGAACCAAAACATAGAAACACATTATCACATTATCACCCCTTGTATTCCTTCTTTCTCATGCAGCACTAAGTTAAGCTTTTTCAACTCAGCAATGCCAAAAATCAAGGATCACTCCAACTGAGATCTACTTGCATTGCCAGGAGGGGTATGAGAGCCTTTTCTGGGAGAAACCAGAACTGCTTCATTGGTTGTAGCTTTCATGCTTCCCATTTCTTCCAATCGCTTCCATCTGGCTTCGCGCTTCGACTTCATGTCCTTCGCTTGCGCTTCGTTTTCCCGAAATTTGAGCATGCACTCTTCATAGAATTCAGGGTCAGTGTCAGAGAATATCTTGCGGACGTTTATTGTCAAGCTCTGGACAGCCTGGTTCCAGTGGTTTCGGGCATTTTGCTCCAGAGCAGGCAAGACAATGGGAAGTATAATTTTGTGGTTCTGCTTGATTAAGGTCTCAATGTGATCATTGTTCCATAAGAACAAAGCCCTCTCTGCTACCTGCAAATTAAGAAGCAATCAAATCATATGAAAGAACATGGGAATACAATGATGGTAAAAGAATCCACTATTCAGAATAATGCACCGCAATGTCAGCAATGTGTCGATATTTTTTTTTATTGACAAATGTTAATTGTTAGTTGTTATGTTAGTGAAGGATTCAAACCCATACCCTCCTTATCACTCCAGCCCTATGCCCCTCCCCCCAAACTACCAAACCAACCTTATAACTCCTACCAGGAACAATAAAACCAACTCTGTATAACATAAGAACATTTTTACATAATTTTTCAGAAAGATGTTGGCAGTGAGTCTAGTAAGATTACTTCCAATGTTACTACATCTAAGGGTGTGTTTGTTTCAAGGATTGTAAAGTTATTCTTGGGAAAGTAAATTTGGGAATATGACATTCTCATGTTCAGTACAAGCCTTAATATTCCTAGATGATTTTAATTCTTAGGAAAGTAACATTCTTATGTTTTGCTTGTTTTTTGCTCCCAACTATTAACTTCTATTCCCTCTCTTTTTTCTCCTATCATTTAAACTATGAAAAAAAGCTCCCAAGAACATCAAATTCTAAACAAATATGTTATTGAATTGCCTAGAAATAACATTCCTAGACATTGTATTATTGAGAATGTCACTTTTGGTAATGTAATCATATATCTTGAAACAAATGCCTCCTAAAACTATTTTTTTTTATCATTATTAAAGAAAAAATAATAGAAACTCCCCAAATTATGGACCCTAGGCAAAGGAAAGAATCCAAAATCTAAGCTATGAGTGTGAGAGGGAGAAGTGGGCGTAATGCCACATTCGTTGTGGTTTGCATAATAACAAGTAAAATCTTCACTTTTGCCTCGCCATTTTCGTTACCGGCAAAAATGGCACAACATTTACCACTCTTTGAATTTCATAGAAATTTTCATTCAAAAATAAGGATATAGCATATCTTGTTGCCAAATGATGTTTCCAACTCTCATGACTCATAATTCAGTGCATCTCATTACTCATATAATTGAGTGCATAAAATGTTTGACTGAAAGAGAAAAAAATATCAGTTTTACTCTTGAAAATAGCTTACAGTTTAACAAGTGTCCTAACTAAACGTTGGACACTCCAGATTGTAGTTGCAATTCTGCCAAGTAATGTACTTTTTCACGTTAAAAGTAAACCTACATTTTCAAGTATGGATAATAATTTTTTAAAATCCAAAAGGAATCTGAGGTATTGCAGCTTTGAAAAACCAAGATGCTAAACTTGACCATCTAGCAAGAACACAGACTAGCAGTGGACATATTATTTAAAATATAAGAGTGGTATGATTATCAAACTAAAAATATTCTGAGGTTCATTTGCCAAAGCCCCAAAATTAGGGAAGCTCTAATAAGTATTATCCTATTAATAAAGCAAACTCCAACTTTTTTGTCTCAACATTTGCTTAAAATCTTTTAAATATTTTAAGATATAGAAAGAGGAGCAAAAGACCAAAAGGAAAGGGTCCCAAGTATACATATTTTAAATATTAATACTTTGCTAAATATAGCTAGTCATTGCTCAGACATAATTTCTCCATTGGGACAACCTACTCCACTCTCCTCTGAAGACATGTGCAGGAGGAAAAGGTAGTAATTTTCTTGCATGAATTTTTCAATTTTTGCCAAGTATAATTTTCGATTATAAATATTCATGATGCATTCTGTATATTATTTTACATATGGAATAAGTAGCATCATCTTCCCTTGCAATTCAAAAATCTTGGGTGACTGCTCGTGTAAAAGCTGAGGAAATGCAACTTCAGGAGGCTTGTATTACAATAAGACAAGTACCTTGGGAGAACCACCTCACAAAAGTTAGCTGTTGTGGTTGGAGAGCCCAAGGCCTTATAAATCTCACTACTTGAAATTTGGATATTCTGTTGTTAACTTTTTTATGAATATATGATCAATGACCTATTATATTATGAATTTACCTATTGTTGTGATTTATAGGTTATTCTTTTATTTATGTAGTTTTTTAACCATATGTATTATATATGGTATTTTAGGTAGGGATGTTGGATCTTAGGATCTGAAATTCTGCATTACTATCTTTCAACTACCCTCCCAATCCCAAGTAAAATCTCTATTTTAATAACCTCGGTTGACTGGTTGAGAGACATGGTGGAAGGCTCGGATGCCGATTAATAAGTAAGTACCTTGGGAGAACCATACTACAAAAGCTAACTATTGTAGTTGGAGAACCCAAGGCCTTATAGATCCCCACACTATAATCTCACACTTCCAATTTGGGATTTAAGTCCCATACCTTGCAACTGTATCCCAACATCCAATTGATAGAACTGGTGACATAAACACGAAGAAAGGTCAAACTTTATTGAAAGAAAAGTAGGGAAGAACTTCCTGGGAGAATAAAACACAATTCCAGATATTTTGAGGGGTCTGGATCCACTCCAAGAGGATATGCACTAGCACGGGAGATCACATTTCCAATAATTATAATGAAGAGAGAATAATTTTAAAAGTTGAAGTCACAATGTCTATTGTTTACTTTGACTCCACAAGCTAGAACAACTATACCAGACAGTATTTGAGAGTTTGTCAACTGATTGAGGATTTGAACACCTAATTTATTTAGCATAAATTCTGTTGTACACTTTTCCTAAAAATTCATTCTTTTTGCAGTTGCATTTGCACCGGGTTGAGTTTCCAGTGCAGCAAATCCACAACAACATCCCTCCCCCCCCAAATAAAAAATTAAAAATTAAAAAACGTAATCACACTGAATTCAGAAACAGATTTACCCAAATAACCCCACACATGGAGACATCAAAGACAATATAGAAATAATAGACCACAAATCTTTCACCAAACCTTTGTTCAAGCATTCTGAAAATCTACCAAAAAAGAAAAGTCCAAGAGAAGCCATCAAACATTGGAAAGGGTAAAAATATGCAACATTAAACAATATCTTCCATCAATTTTCAAAAATGAAGTTCACAGAAGTGAAAATCAAAGGTCATATTATGAGTTAAAAATGAGAGCATGTATATTAAATAATATATTTAAGACTACTACGAAAATGTATTTGCACTCCTTGTATTAGTGATAGTAATACACTAATACACATTAAATTATTTTCAGTGACATTATAATTTGTCTTGTGAGACCTGTGTTTCATGTCTAAACATACAAAACAAAAATTGTAGGATATAGCTTACTTCAAAGAAATAATTACTTATTTTTGTCAACTTTCTGATAGAGCTTCAAAAATACCAAAAGAAAAAAGAATGATTTCTCCATAAATAATTCCAACCAAATATGCACTAGGATATTATTTGAATATGGAAAGTTATTTTCTTCACCAAATTCCTACCACTATAAGAGACAAATCAGGCACCAAACAGCAAGCACATTCATGTTTTATCTTTTTTGAGGGTTGATAAATTATCACAGAAAACAAATGAGAAAGTGGAAGCAAATGGAGACTTCTATAATTATCAAACCTGGAAATGTGAACTGCTCAAGCAACGGCTTATTTGGCGGAACATCGGTACCATACATCGTTGAAACTCTGCAGGTTGAGTAGCTTCTAAGACTTCCTCTAGCTCCCCTATGAACATAACCTCCTTAGAACTATTTGTTATGGGCCAGTATTTTAATAATCCCCGTATAACAGTATCAGCAAGCTTGCAGTCTTTTTCCACAAACTGTGTGATGCAGTAAGATAACTGCTGGTGGTACATTGGTATGCATTTTGGTTTATGAAGAGGAATAAGAGCTCGCACAAGAAACAGCTTGTGCTCTTCTTTCAGTGGTAAAGCAAATCCATTGATTATACTTCCCAAAATTTCTAAGAGTTCAGCAATACCATTATGCTTCTCAGTTTCAAAAATGAAGCGGTAGAATATATTGTTGATTGCTTTTCTGATGAATGGTCGGTGCACCATAAATTTCCCATAAATACGATGAAGAACTGTCTTCAAGTAATCCCGCTCCCTGGGATCCTCTGAATCAAAAAGGTCTAACAATCTTAGAACAAATGAATGGTCAATATACCTTTTTGCCAACTTCGCATCAGTCTCAGGTGATGTGACAAACCTTAGAAGCAGTTCATACACAATTTGCAAGTAAGGCCATGCAGGGTCCATTGAAGGTTCTTCCTCATCCACATCAAATGCTTCTAGAGCTTTGTTCTCACGGGGAGGAGAAATAAATGTTCGGAACAAATTTATAGACACCATTTTTACAAGTTCTTGCATCATTATATCTGTAAACTTCCCATTAGCAGATGAAACATAATCCACAAGTTCTACAAGTGTTTGTCGCTTAATTTCCTTTTCTTTGAGGTTCTTTGTAGGGTCAGTGAAGTCAAATAGAACACAGCACATTTGCATCTTTCTTATAAACAAATTCTGCTTCTCTGAATTTGGAACATCACGGAAACTTGGCAAAGCTTCATAGGCGGAAACTGGAAAAGTCCCATTCAGATTCAGTTTTGAGTTAAAAGCTTGGACAATCTTGTCACCATTATTTATTCCTGGAACCGTATTCGAATCGACACCGCCTGAAAGAGTTGAAGCAGTTGAATTTCCATAACGGTAGCCTGCTACATCGTTGCTCCTTGCACTTGTCGAAGGAGTTGAAGAGGGTGTCGATATTCCCCCTCCTTCACGACTTTCCCCTGATTTGTTGGGCTTCCTAGGAAGCCTATTCAATATCTGCTTGATCATAGCTTAAAATTGATTCAACAAAAGACTTTTGTCGTGCACTTCAGAACACACTCCTTACCAGAACTCTTCAAATCATATAAAGCAGCAAGTTAGCCAAGCAAGTGCACTAACTGAATCCCAGACAGAGACAACAATAACCTCTCTTCAACTTCACTTCTGACTCAGCCATCATAAGATAGTATCATCTTTGCTAAATTTATCGACAAAAAACACTAGTTGAAGGAAGCCAAAGGATTCAGCAAAAGACTCCTTATCAACTTCCATGGTGCTTCTTAGTATGTCAAATCTGAAACACAAACACACCACAAGATCAAAATTACCCCAAATCCCAAATATATAAGAAAATAACAGGAATCCAACAAAATAACCCCCTCCCTCTCTATCTCCCACCAAAAATAGATAAATAAAACAACCCTCACAGTTATACAAAGAAACGAACAAATACCCCATATTAAAAAAGAGAAAAATAAATAAATAAAAAAGATTAAAAAATCCCTAGTCAATTGATACCAACCAACAAATTTATAAAATTGTGCAACATAACATAACACCATAATGTCCAAGAGAGAAACTTTGACTTGTTTATTCAACTACAGTAAGAAAAAAAGAAAAAGAAAAAAAAAGGGGGGTATACCTGCTCCTCCTCTTCTTTTTCAGGATTTTCACCAGCAAATAGCAATATAGATGGATCAGACAGAAACAGGATCTGGGTCTGATCCGCGAAAACCCAGATGAAATTTTTGCTGAAAAGTGTTGAGGGACAAAGAAACACGATGTGGAACAACCTTAACAATCGAATTTACGAAAAAAATGGGTGCAGAGGAAGAGAGAAAAAGTTAAAGGTTTTATTTTTTTGGTGGAGTTACATAGCAAAAGAATTTTGAAGAATTAAGGATGCTGGTCTTTGCCAAAAGAGAAAATTGAAGTGCATCGTTGAAGGGGCAAAAAGAGAGAGAGAGAGAGAGAATAAAGTGAGAAGAACGAAAGCAATCACTGGCTGAAGTAGTAGTTGTTATTATGGTTTCGCTAGCCAAAAAAAAAAAACACAAATAAATGAATAAAGTGTTCTTCTTATGTTGTTCCTATTTCCTTTTTCATTTTCTTTCTCACTTTTCTCTTTCTCACTTTTATTTTTTTATTTTTAGGAAGAAGTTATTTTAACATATCATGGGGAAAAAATTAAAATAGAAGTAAATTATAGCTGGAATACTTTTTTTCCATAATTGAAAAAGTTCAGAGCATCTAACATTTAAACATTCGTTAGATACTTTTTAAAAAATTCGTTAGATCAATTTTGTTTTTTTTTACATACTTTGTTTTGGATAATTCCCTTTCCTCTTTTTGGCTATTTATTTTAGACTAAAGATCTGTTTATTTTATTTTCTAAAAAAAATGAAGGTCTCCGTTGCTGTTTTTAAAAAAATATATATAAAAAAAATAGATGACAAAATGATATTGTGTAGTTAACTTTATAATAGTTGAGTGGTTATAAAAATTAATTGAAGGGTAAGACTTAAGAGAGTTAACAAAATATAGACATCAAAATAACCTATTCTGAATTTTTAAATAATTTTTAAAAGCATTATATATAATAGAATTGTTTTAAAAAAGTTGTTGTTGAATAGTATATTAAAAGTTAATTAAAAAATAATGAATTTAATCAATTGATAAAGTAACATAACAAAGGTGTTATAAAAAAAATAACAAAGATCATGTTAAGAAAAAAATAGTTATCCTTATTTTGTATAAATTATGTATCAATTACCATAAATATGAAATAGATTAGGTTTATGTGAGTTCATAATCTCAATAAAAAATGTTTAAAATATTCAAAAAAAATTATTGCAAGTAACTTTATAAAAGTATTTTTTTGATATTTTTCATACCATCATATCTTTAATAATATATCATTTTTATCTTGATTTAATCAATTTTATATTTTAAACGTGAATAACTATTTTGTATGAGAACATTTTTAGGACTATTCTTTGACGGAAGCATTTATAGGAATTCTTGTAATTTTTTAATCAATTCAAATTTTTTATTTATCATATTTATTTATGAATTAAAATTTTAATATTTTTAAAATACATTACAAATAATTAAAAATAATTGTAGACACCTAATTTTGTCCGGTGGGCATACAAACAAAGAAATGGACATCTATCATCAAAGAAATGGAGCTCCCAAGCATGGAAATAACAGGACATGACATCAGAAGGTTAAAAGCCCAAATAAGCTGGTTTCAGTAGCCCGGTACGGGCTGTTCCAAAACTGGAACGGGTCGTTCCAATTTACAAAAAGGGCCTAAAATCCTAACGGACCTTTTCAAGCTCTTAAAAAAGGGCTAAAACCTACGTTTGGAACGGGCCGTTCCAAGTTCTTAAAAGGGCCCAAAACTCTAGTTTGGAACGAGCTGTTCCTAAATTGGAACGGGTCATTCCAAGATTGGAACGAGACGTTCCAAACTCCTAAAAAAGGGTCAAAACCTACACTGGAACGGGCCGTTCTAAGTTATTAAAAAGGCCTAAAAATCCTTATTTGGAACTGCTGTTCTAGCCTAGCCAATTATGTGTTAATCTTGTCTCTGGAACGAGTCGTTCCAATTTCAGAACGGGCTGTTCCAGTTACAAATTTAACATACAACGTTCAGATCCAGAATGGGCTGTTCCGGTTTTGGAACGAGCCATTCTAGAAACCCTTCTGATCCCTATAAATAGACAGCTTGGGCACAGTTCTCTGGGCCTCAAAAATTTCGTCCAAGACTCCTTAGAGCTCGAAATTTCTCTCTCTCTCTCTCTAATTGTATTTCTTGAGATTTGTGAGGCATTTGTGTAGTGTGAAAGGTTGCCACAAAACACCTAGAATTTCTATATTGAAAGATCTAAAAAAGTTTGCTACGAGGTATTTCAATCAATTTTCTTCTCTCTCTTTTATTTCTTATCTTTGATAAGTATTGTTATAATAAAAGTAATCATGTAGAAATTTTAGGGTTATTTGTATAATTTAAATTTCAAGCATGTAAATAATCATCAATAAAAGGGGATTTAATATTTATATTATTATTGTTTATAATGCTAACTTCATCATAGGGTACCGATTAAAGGCATTGTAGGAGTGCTTAATACCTTCCTTACACGTAACCAACCCCCGAACCCAATTCTGGTTATCAAGGTCATTATTGGACTTTTAAAAACCTTTTCTTTTTCCAATTTTTTGAGTAAAACATTGGTGGCGACTCCATGAACCTATTTTCAAAATCATTGATTAAGGATTAGTTTGGCATCCGGGCATTCCTTAATTGATGAGATTTTCAAAAGGATGTTTAAACCATAGGTCGCAAGATCAGAAATTTTTGGGTTGCGACAAATGGCGACTCCACTAGGGACGTTTTACAAGGGTCAGACTCAAATAAATGATGAAGTTAATAAAATAAGAATAATAATTTAAATATTTTTTCCCTTTACCTTGTTTGTTTTCTTTGTTTGGCTTTGATATATGTTTGCTTATTTAAATTCTGCACCTGTTTGAATACAAATTGTACACAAATCTTTGCACACAACAGTTCCCCCTACACCCGGGGGCATGAGGGTATTAAACCTGGGAGTGGTTGACGTACGACCGGCCCAAGTTTGGCCTTGGAGTCTGCGAGCCTTGTCGAAAATCACACTCAAGGTGATAACCGGTTACTCTAGCCCAAAATATTGCGACAAACCTTGGAGTTTGCCAGGTGAAGCCGATAGAGATACTGGGTCCCTATAATGGGGGCACCTTGGGGACCTTAAGACCAAAGTGAGGATAATTAGAATCGCCTTGTATAATGCACTTTTCTTAACAAGGACCATAGACCATGGATTTAGACGCAACTGTTCGTAGATTGTATGAGCATATGTTTTTTGCATTTTGTCTATTCAAACCATTCATTTATTTTTTATAATTTCCCTAAGGTAAAGAAAAACATAAAATATAAAAATGCATTATCATGAGAGAGCAAACCTAGTGTGAAAATAAGACATGTGAGAAACACACATCCCTTCTTTTTTTTTAAAAAAAAAAAAGAGCATCATGCATTTTCTAAAAAAATAAATTAAAAAAATATAATAAATAAATAAAAGGACAATAAAAAAAAAGAAAAAAGGAACATGCATAACATATATTTAGGATCACAAGGGGATTTGTATCAAAGGCGAGAAATCAGTGTGACCTCTGTCACATCATAAAATATTATGAAGAGGAACACCGATAACTCTTCTCTCGACAAGGATGAGCCATCAAGTCTTTGATAGAAACTCCCTTCATGCATTACCATTTAAATAAGCTTGATAAGAAATTATCTTGTCCCTTAAAGATGGCTTTTCAACATTCCGTACTCACACGAGCTCAAAAGATAAAAGCTATGGAAGACCTAGAGGAAAGAAATCGTGTCCTCAATGAGGAGCTCGAACAACTCAAGGAACAAATGGCTAGAATGCTTGAGGCCATGAACAAATTGCAGCACGACAATAGTACTAGCAACATTGGTGACGTTTCCAAAGATCATCTGAACGCCATGAAAGAAAGACTGAGAGTTGTGGAAGGCCACAGTTTTGACATTCAAGAGGCTGCGGATATGTGCCTAGTGTAGGACATCCAATTCCCTGCCAAGTTCAAAATCCCTGACTTCCAAAAGTACATTGGGGCCAGTTGTCCAAAAGGACATCTAACAATGTACTGTAGGAAGATGGCAGCCTACGTGGGCAATGAAAAGCTCCTGATACACTGTTTTCAGGAAAGCCTTTCAGATGTTGCTCTCAACTGGTACATGCAGCTAGATGGAGGGAAGATCCAGACATGGAAACAGTTAGCCAGTTGTCCAAAAGGACATCTGACAATGTACTGTAGGAAGATGGCAGCCTACGTGGGCAATGAAAAGCTCCTGATACACTGTTTTCAGGAAAGCCTTTCAGATGTTGCTCTCAACTGGTACATGCAGCTAGATGGAGGGAAGATCCAGACATGGAAACAGTTAGCCGATGCTTTTCTCCGTCGATACAAGTATAACATCGACCTAATTCCTGATAGGTCTGATTTACAAAGCTTAAGCAAGAGGGGCGATGAGTCCTTCAAAACCTATGCACAAAGATGGAAAGAATTGGCTGCGCAGATACAGCCTTCATTATCTGATAAAGAGATGGTGACAATGTTCATTAACTCTTTAAATGGACCCTATTATGACAAGATGATAGGAAACACATCAACCCTTTTTGCCGACATAGTCACCATAGGTGAAAGGGTTGAGCAAGGCTTAAAAAGTAGGAAGATAGGGAAGGCTCCAACAAGTTATGACCCCAGGAAAATCTATGAAAAGAAGAGGGAAGAAGGGGTCCACACCGTCATACACAGAGCTACTACCTCAACTCCTAGAGGCTTCAATGTTAGTCAGACTTCCTCCAACAAAGAAGATGGACCCTTCTTACCCGCCGTGGTACAAACCCAAGGAAAGGTGTGACTATCACTCTAACTCTCCGGGGCACTCCGTGGAACGATGCAAGACCCTAAAATTCTGTGTGCAAGGACTTATAGATGCTGGGTGGTTGAAATTTGACACCGACACACCTAGCATCGACAAGCACCCACTACACAAGCATGACGAGGAATGACCTTGGAGTATAAAATTGAGAAATTACTAGAGCAGGGGGCTCTCTTTCTTTTTCAAAAAAAAAATTGCTTTAAATTCACGCTCAACTCATGACATTCACCCACGGTCATGAGTTCAAACAAAATAAGGGTTTGTATAAGTTTTTACATTTATCAATAACATATGTCATTTCCATAAATCTCTTGTGTTTATTCCTTTTCCCCCTCTTCCCACATATTAAATTCTAAAATCAATCACAATAAAAAACAAGCATGATTGAAGATAATAAAATTAATCGAATCTTCGAACATCTACAACGCATTATCTTATGCGAAGGTAGATAAGAAGATCACCTCCTCAAAACACACAAAAATAAGAAAGTGATCAGAAGAGTCTTACACAAGATTCTCATT